TATTTTTTGCTTGCATAATCCACTTATTTAACTCTTCTAATTCTTTTCTGTATTTAGCTTGTTTTCTTTTTGATTTATACACCAACTTCATGTCCACCTTCTGCTGAATCTTTGTCAGCGGCTCAACTCTCAACTTTCCATCCCAGCCCTCCTTCTCAATCCACTTTCTGGCAAACTCTGGGTCACCACCACAACACGCCACCATCCATCTAACATCACCTGGCATTTCCTTCTTACTACTGCCTTGTCCCATTTTTAAAGAATTTAGTCCAGTACACAGCGGTTCGATTGTTTCCTCACACACTTTCACACAGTCACACACACCTAAGGCCTAATATTTTTTATTTTTTTACAACACAGAGTCCCAGACTGGAATGCACAGAATACCCAGGTCCCAGACCTGTAAACAAAACTTGGTCTCGTCAAATATTCTTGCAACTACAACCAGTTATAGCTTGAACACAGAGGGTCCCAGACCCAAATGCACAGAATACCCAGGTCCCAGACCTGTAAACAAAACTTGGTTTCGTCAAATATTCTTGCAACTACAACCAGTTATAGCTTTCACACAGAGGGTCCCAGACCCAAACGCACAGAATACCGATCCCAGATCTCTCACAACAAACCCTGTTTGTCAAATATTCTAGCGACTACAACTAGTTATAGCTTTCACATGGTCCCAGACCAACTGTTGGTAAAAAACTTTAGGCGTACCGTTTCTGTGCAGATCAGTCTTCAGCTTGAGTCGTCACCAGGATGTCCAGGGCAGGGCTGGACCAACCTATTGGCTCAGTCTGGCAAAGGGTGGACGGCTGTTGACAGTTTCTTGGCCTTGGTCCCGCACGGTCCTGGACAATTGGATCTTGACTCCCGGAGTTTCAGCACCAAAAATGTTGGGTTTTAATCCAGAGAAATGTGATTTTAAAAGATTAAAGGGAAAATGATCAACACAGAGACAGGGTTCTGTGACGTCAGCGTGTGCCGGGTGGAGAGCAGCTGCCGGCTCAGAAAACCAGCAGCTACTCACACAGATCCCTTCATGGCAAAGCCTTTTATAAGCAGTTTACAACATCAAATAGGCGGGCCTAAAACAGAAGGCCCAGTAATGATTGTCTGGGAGGATGCAGGTAACAAGATAGTGTAAATTGACCAACTGGCTGGATGGAAGTCGCACAACCGTGTGATTCTGCCTGGAGGTCATAAAAGTTTATGACCTTTCTGGTTGATTCACATGATAGACATGTAACATCCTCTTTCTTTCGATGTTTCATATGTCCACACAATAATTTTATAATTATCACTCTAACACTTCTCTACAGAAGAAGGAAAACATATCAACAGACTAGCCTTTCTGTTGTTCCAACCCATGGACGTACACTATATTGCCAAAAGTATTTGCTCACCCATCCAAATTATTGGAATCAGGTGTTCCAATCACTTCCATGGCCACAGGTGTATAAATTCAAGCACCTAGGCATGCAGACTGTTTTTACAAACATTTGTGAAAGAATGGGTCGCTCTCAGGAGCTCAGTGAATTCCAGCGTGGAACTGTGATAGGATGCCACCTGTGCAACAAATCCAGTCGTGAAATTTCCTCGCTCCTAAATATTCCACAGTCAACTGTCAGCTGTATTATAAGAAAATGGAAGTGTTTGGGAACGACAGCAACTCAGCCACGAAGTGGTAGGCCACGTAAACTGACGGAGCGGGGTCAGCGGATGCTGACGCGCATAGTGCGAAGAGGTCGCCAACTTTCTGCAGAGTCAATCACTACAGACCTCCAAACTTCATGTGGCCTTCAGATTAGCTCAAGAACAGTGCGCAGAGAGCTTCATGGAATGGGTTTCCAAGGTCGAGCAGCTGCATCCAAGCCATACATCACCAAGTGCAATGCAAAGCGTCGGATGCGGTGGTGTAAAGCACGCCGCCACTGGACTCTAGAGCAGTGGAGACGCGTTCTCTGGAGTGACGAATCGCGCTTCTCCATCTGGCAATCTGATGGACGGGTCTGGGTTTGGCGGTTGCCAGGAGAACGGTACTTGTCTGACTGCATTGTGCCAAGTGTAAAGTTTGGTGGAGGGGGGATTATGGTGTGGGGTTGTTTTTCAGGAGCTGGGCTTGGCCCCTTAGTTCCAGTGAAAGGAACTCTGAATGCTTCAGCATACCAAGACATTTTGGACAATTCCATGCTCCCAACTTTGTGGGAACAGTTTGGAGCTGGCCCCTTCCTCTTCCAACATGACTGTGCACCAGTGCACAAAGCAAGGTCCATAAAGACATGGATGACAGAGTCTGGTGTGGATGAACTTGACTGGCCTGCACAGAGTCCTGACCTCAACCCGATAGAACACCTTTGGGATGAATTAGAGCGGAGACTGAGAGCCAGGCCTTCTCGTCCAACATCAGTGTGCGACCTCACAAATGCGCTTCTGGAAGAATGGTCAAAAATTCCCATAAACACACTCCTAAACCTTGTGGACAGCCTTCCCAGAAGAGTTGAAGCTGTTCTAGCTGCAAAGGGTGGACCGACGTCATATTGAACCCTATGGATTAGGAACGGGATGTCACTTAAGCTCATATGTGAGTCAAGGCAGGTGAGCAAATACTTTTGGCAATATAGTGTAGGTTTGCATAGGGACCATAGGGACATGTCCCTACCAAAATTTTGGAAGGACCCATTTGTCCCTACCAATAATTGGATGTGAACAACATGTTTATAATTTACTATACAGCAGCCGCTTCTTTTCCTCTCGCAGCTTCTCTGCCTGGTAGCTGCAGCTGCCTGCTCTTTCCTGTCCCTTTCACATAGCAGCGCATCAACTGTGCTGCGCGGTTTAACTCTCTGATTATTCTGCCTTAAGTTCGCCTTCTCTCTTTCTGATTGCGTGTTTTCTAGTCTGTATGTGCGCGTGCGCGGGTGCTTGGAGCGTGAAAAAAAAAAGCGAAAGCTTCTGATTGGAGTTCTGTAAAGAAGCAGGAGAGAGTTTTTTGATTTGTGGAACTTGAGAAATGTAAGTTAACAACGTTAGGATTTCTTTTATTTTATCTTTTAATCAGATAGCCAAAGGCTCCTTAAGGAAGATCTTTTATGAAATGAAACCAGGTGAAACAGAAACGTTTAAACGTTTCCTTTGGAGGAGTTCTGGATGGTGAATATTGACAGACAAAAACTTTTTTTTTTTTTTTTTTTACTTCTTAAATGCTAAATGTTTACATATTTTTTTACAATCTTGGTATAATTCCTGCTCTAAGTGGGTCGCTCTGTCGGCTAAAGGCACATTTTAGTGTGTAGCCCAGATGTACAACTTCTAATATTAATACTTTAAATGCTCAGTGTCAGTTCCTCTTCTAGTTCCAGTGCACATGTAAATACAATACATTTATTTGCTGTCCCTTGAATGTATTATTTTGCATGATCCAGAGAGAGCATATTAGATAAAAAAATAAGAGTGGGGTTTACCTCTGTTTACCTCTGCACAATTCTATATCATCAAAAGAAAACACAGGATAAATCCACATATTATAGACTATATTTGGTTAAATAGACAATGTCCTAGTCGAAGGTAAATTTTAATGCAATCCTTTTCAAAGTGGAAAAAGTCTTAATTCCACATTCATCAGAGCCAGTGATGCTTTAAATATTGATAAACAGCATCTAGTGCATGTAGTGCTTATACGATTTGTATTAATGTAGCAAGAAATGCTGCTGTTCTCTTTATATAAAATGAGCCCTGAAGCTGACATTAAGCATAAAAAAGAGCATGCATATTTTTGCAAAGGACCAATGACACTGAAGCATAGTGTCCCTACCAAAGTTGAAATCAAACCTACGCCCTTGTTCCAACCCTTCTGTTGGATTATGTTAAATGGTTTCATTGGGTTTTGATGATTTTTAAAAATATGGAATGTGTTTCATCTTCTCTGGAAAACCAAAAATATCACAGACTCATGTTTGTAGATTATTTATAACTGTTTGTAGCATTCTCTGTGTGAAGTGGAACTAGGGAAGCCAAGCAAACGGTGTTTGAATGAGAATCAGAACCAAGGCAGGTTACAGATGCAGAGAAAGCCTTACAGTTGAAGAGGCTCAGCCTGAGCCCTGCATTTGGAGCTGCTATAACAATGCAGTGGTTTCATTGTGTGTGGCAGTTCATGCTGTAAGTGGGACACATTTCCATAAGAGCTGCATAATGTGTGTAATTGGTTTAGTCTGGTAGCATTTTAGCAGTAAAGTGGGGTGGGATTTCTGTTGAGCTGCATCGACCTGAAATAATACAGAATTTTACAAAGACCAGGAGCAGACTGACTTTAAATAAGACAAAGTTTTATTTCAGATATAAAACAAAATTTTGTTAATTGATATGCTTTGATGTCATCTAGTAAAGTTCCCACAGCATCCCCTGTACTGAGACTGCCCTGATAATTGATCGATTGATTTACTGACTTAACAGAAAATGTATTATTACATCGGCTCAGATAGTCAAAAAGAAGGTGAAGGTGCCAAGAAAAAAAGGTGCATGCATATATATGTGCACTAGTTGAAGTTTCACTTGAAGAGATTTTAAAGTTGCATCATCTGCTTTGTAGGCTGCTTTGCAGACAGCTATGCATTATGTGTGAGCTGCCCATTATGCAAAAACAATTACCGTATTTTCACGACCATAAGGCACACCGTACTAAAAGGCACAGTCTCAGTTATGTGTGCCATTACTGTATTTAACACACACATAAGGCGCACCGGATTATAGGGTGCGGGGTTTATATACAGGTACATGTCCTCTACTACGTTTAAATGCCTCTACTGCGTATTTAAAAATACAGCGGGAGCAAAACTGAGTATGTTTATGCTTTATTCATGTATTTATTACAAAGTATTAATCAAACCTGGAAGCTGGCCGTGAGACAGACACTTACTTCAGCTTATTGTTGGTGTCGATTTACACTTTTGAGGACATGAACAAAGCAAAATCCTGTTTATTTGTGTGTTTTTTCCTTGCAGACATTTGGTGCAGATGACGTGGTGTGCACAAGGATTTACGTTCGTGAGTGAGGCAGTGCAAACCTTCACCTGGACAAAGCTCATGTGAATCTCTTCTGCTAACTCAACAATTCATTCGCCAAGTTTCCTGTGAAAACTTAACCTCTTAGCATCAACCATAATAGTCTTTACATGTGATAGTGTCAGTTTTCTGGTTATTCGTTGTTATCATTGTATCCGCAGTGCAGTAGCTAGCTCTTTCAGTGTCCATACCTGCAACCAAGCTATGATAATGTAGGATTTGGTCTTCGGCTGTTTAAATCAAGTGTTCATGTTTGATGAAAGGAAGCAATAAAACATACATGGAACCAATTATATCAAAAATCATTGTTTATGTGAATGTATGTTACAGTTGTTATGTCCATCCCTTTAATTGTGATGCGAAGGAAATGTTTTATTTACTACAACTTGTATATTGCATTAGTTTTGGAAAGACAGTCTATAGGGCCATTGACAGTATACATTCTTCTAGAATCTTTGCTTTTTGACTTTTTCAGCTGCAAAGTTTTACCCAAGTCAAAACTAACCAATTATTAAAATATTTAGTAATAAATAAAGTAGTAAAGAAGGAAATTTCCTCATTTTAGAGGAAAAGAATTTAAAAGAAGTTTTGTGAAGAACTAAAGGCATATTTTCGAGTAAACTATAGTAAGACTATGATACTTCTCATTTATACTGTTACAGCAAACAAGAACAGTATATTAATCCATCCGTCCATCTTTTTCCGTTTATTCCGGGCCAGTGCAGCATATGGAAGGAATGCAGGGTACACCCTGGACAGGTCCCCAGTCTCTCATTGGGCAACATAGAGAAGACATGCAACAATGCACATACACACACCCCTACACAAACAAACACAACTTTAAACAACTCAGTTAACCTAGCAGATATGCTTTTGGACTAAGGGAGGACAGACAGACATGGTATGACATGTATATTTACGTTAGTTTTAGTCCCATCTTAGTCATTACGATATGTGATAGTTTTAGTCGGTTTAAATCAGCTGAAACTTAACAAGGATTTAGTCTAGTTTTAGTTGGTTTTATGTTGCAAAAACTACCAGCCTGCAGCTCTTTCCTAGATTCTACAATAGATGGGTATAAAATGCTGCCATGCGGTTCATCATTGCTGTTGGGCAGAAAACTTTGATTTACAGAATTCAATCAAACCTTTTTAGGAATTAATGCCTTACTTTATACAAAAGCTTCTCACAAAATCTGTGAAAATAGCAGATCTAGTTCAACAAATCATATTGGTTAAAATAGCAGACAGACAAGCAAACAAAATGTACAATAAAGCAATGGTTTTAAACATAAAAGGTTTCCATCGTAAAGCAAACATTTCCTAATCTACTATGAATTATGCATTACACACAGATCAATAAAATCTTCATTGCTCCATAAAAAGCAAACATTCTTCTTTCTGCTTTGACAATTTTGGGTTTATTTCTAAGAATTTGCCCCTTAGTTACTACTGCTCAAGGGTCAACATAGATTTAAATTCAACATTGAAATATTTAACGGAAACAGAGAAAATGTTTTAATGCCAATACAGACTTGTGAGGAGACCCCGTTACAGCAGAAGCTTTTGTCACAGTATATGATGGGTCACAGATTTTGTTGTAACACCGGTATAATGTCATCATACATATTATATCATTATTGTTATTATTATCTCATCTGATTTAATACTAACAAGACTAATCACTACAATATTTGGAGCTACAAATAAAACAACATAATAAATGAACATTAAACAGGTGGTTATCTCTTCCTCCATCATTCTCAGATTATGTAGATCTTGTCTCATTCAGTTTTCCTTTTAATTAATTTCAATTCAGTTTATTTATATAGCGCCGATTCATAACACATGTCATCTCAAGGCTCTTTAGAGTTCAACCAGATCATCCAGTCAAATTGATTCAAAGTTTTCTATCTAAGGAAAACCAGTTGAATGACTCATTGACTCAAATACAATCCCTCACACTAAGCATGCTTGTAGCGACAGTGGAGAGGAAAAACTCCTTTTTAACAGGAAGAAACCTCCAGCGAAACCAGGCTCAGTGTGAGCGGCCATCTGCCGAGGCCGACTGGGGTTCAAGGAGACAGAAGCAGAGATACAAAAAGCAGCTGTAAAAGGCGGCCCCATCCAGGAAACACACAGCCAGGCAGACAAGCTCCGAGCCAGCTCCCATGTCAGAGGATGAAGAGAGCACATCCAGCCAGTCACGGTCAGAGAAACAGGACTACACTGAAAAACAGGCCAAGCTCCAAGATCTAGAAACAAAGGTGTTGATGGCAGCAGCACAGCTGATATTTCTCTACAGGGTGGTGTCACAGCCAAACAGGAACAGACGAGGCAAAGCTACTCTGAGGAAAAGCAGAGAGAGCATAACTATTTTATTTTCTCTTTGTTTTTTTCATGACAAACTTTCATATATCCAAACTGAGTGGTAGAAAATAGGACCCAATATTCAGACAGACAGACAAGGACGATTGTTAACGCTGGGCTTCAGCGGGGCAGATACTCTGCCGAGATACCGTAGGAAACACAGGTCAGAGACAGGGATGTCAGGCTGATTACGATTTGGAGCAAAAGTCACTGACCTGATTTAAAGTTCAGTTCATCGTTTGCAGCTGTGGCTGCTTCCAGAACCCTGAGTGAAGATAAGCTGATGCCAGCCAAAGCTGAAGGAGCAACAGTGTCCGTGAGGGGAAACTAAGCAAAGGTCAGTGAAACATTCTACAGTAACCAGGAAAAACAGTAAAAAGCCAAAAACCGACAGAGCAGACAGGGGCAAGGCAAAAACTCGAATCAGAAAACAGGTCAGAATTGGAATCACAGAAAAACTCACTTGATCGCTAGAGTTACTCTCACAACAGGTCGAATAATCTGGAGCTGATGGCAGGAAATCAAACGGCATAAATAGCTGCAGGGACCAGGTGAATCAGATTGGCGGTAATCAGCCGGTGAAGCCAATTAGAGCGTGGGTAGATGGAAAAGCAAGCCTTCAGCACCAAACCATGACAAAAACGTATAACTCTATTTAAAGGACAGTGAAGCCATCACCTGTCCTAAGCTTCTTCTAATTGGCTAGTTCTGGCTGCCTTAAGCGATTACGTTGGTTAACTGTAGGCATGATGAGCCGTGAGTCAAGCAGAGAAGGGCGGTTTTTGCTGAGGTTAGTATGACTCACATATTTAATAATATTTAAAGGCTTACTTTAAATGGTACTCCTTTAGGATTAGCAAAGAAACTGTGATATGAAGCAAGCTAGTGAAACAACACTTCTATTTCCTAAGTACAAACATCCTTGTGAATTAACATTAGCCAGCAGCTGAGCTAATGTTATCAATGCTACCCCGTACAGCCTAATGTTGATGACCGCTTTGCCCCCCATCCCCGTCGGACAAGAAGCTGTCAGTGAAGAGGAAGGTGCCTCTTCGCCCTTAGCCAAATATGTCGGTACAACTTTGGATGATCACATCAACTACACTAGGTGGGTGTTTGCCATTTTTATTGTTGAACCCCGTAAATTATGTTAATAACATTTCAGGGCTCGGCAGTACTTGGTTAGGAGAATATGTCAATTTTGATGTGTTGTAAACGCATTTTTATGTTAAATATTGTTATGCGAGATACCGTTTTATTGAATAATTTGAATGATGAATTCTACTCATCATATGTATATATGTCTAATGATCTACACTAAAATAGAGTTTTAAATCTAAGCTGAAATATAAACAAAGATGACAAATTCACATCTAAAATGTATTTTTTAAATAAATGTTTAGAAAATAACTGAAACAGCATGTTATTGTTAGCCTTATCTGTATTTCATATTCATGGAGGGTGCCTGAGTGACCAGTAATACCAGCAAACTGGTCCTGATTTAGTAACGTTGATTTTAATTGTGGCCAAACTGTTATGAATCAGCTGTTCAAAGAGACGGTTTACAAAAGGAAGTACTGACCTACTTAGTGAGAGAATAGGTGTCATCCATGTGGATGGACTCAGGATTAAGGAATAGTTCACTCACATCTCTCACTAGTCTGTGGGTCAGCGTTTTTTTTATTTCATATTTCTTCCTCCCTGAGATCAAATAGCAGCAATTAGATGATAATAACAAAATATTACAAAGGAATGTTTTGGTAAACTACATAGAGCAGTCTTACATGTCATTGTTTCTGGGCGCCATTAAAATAAAATAAAGAGTGCAACTATACCCACTTCTCCAGGGACCACCACACTACTGCTTACAAGGAGCTTTCGATCATTCTGTTTAATTTTATCTGAGTCTATTTACTCATGCCAACCTCAGCCAATGGTATTCTCTTACTTTTGTTGATTAGCTTGGTTTATGCTATATTTTAGGTCATCATCTTTAGTAAAACCAAACATAGGCATAGGCACCTCTGTAGAGAGGTGCAGCAGAAGGCGCTATGCTTTAAACTGGTTTCTGAATAATCAGAGTTACGTGGATAAAGAGGTATCAAAGGAAAAAGAACTTAAAACTGGCAGTATTTCCACCTAAGAGGAGAGTTACATGAGGAATAAAAAAATCAAAAAAGTAAATACAAACATCTGGTCCATTCAGTCTTCTCTGGCTTCTTCCCTCTCTACATTCTTTTCTTTCTGGCGCTCTTCTGACTTCTGTCTGCTTTCTGCTTCTATATAGATTTTTTCCCTTCTCTTCAACTAGTCTTCTAGTTTTCCTCCACTTTGATTCAGTCTTCTTTCTCTCTCCTCTTCTATCAATCTTAGACTATTCTAAAACAGAGACATGAATCAACAACAGTTCCAAAAAAATTTGAATGTGCAACAGCAAACATATTATTATCTTTATCATCTCATCGGATTAAATACTAAAAATGCTTATCATTCATTTTGGATCATATTTGAAGCTAGAAGCAAAAACAGCCTAATAAGTGAATGTTAGATAGGTAGTTGCCTCTTAATCCATCATTTTCAGATCACGTGGATCATGTCTGAGTTTTCCTGTTACTGACTTGTATTTTTCATGAGAAATGTTCTTATCTCCAAACTAAGTAGTAGAAAAGCACACCTAAGCCTAGAAGTCTATGCTTATAAATTACAACCATAAATCAGAAAACAACTTATAATAACTAACTTTCTTAAATATAAACTAAAGGTCATCAAACAGTTCTGAAACATCTTTAACCACCATACCAGATTAGGGCCTTACAAGGAGTTTTTAATCCGAGTCAAGTTTTTGTCATACCAGCAGTAAAAGGTGGTTTTGTCTTACTTCTTTTTATTGGTAATTTTTTTAACTGGACATGATGCAAACATTTATTACAGGA